GAATTTCTATCATTGATGAATTTGGAACAGGTTGAGGTAAATTCAGATCACTATTTTTTTTCAAATAGAGGATGAAGAACAAATCAAAGTCACATTTTTAATTTGGGCTTGTTCACAATGCTTTGAAACATTTGATTTTATTAGTCAAATGAAGTTAATGGTTACGTCGTTGCGCATACATGTTTGGAAGTTTATCGTAGAGATAAAAATTTGGAAATTTGTTAGCAAGGCCAATACATTCATTTTTCTTCTGAATATCGAACTTTTTTTAGAAAACTTCTACCTTGCTTTGGGTATCTGAGGTTGGTCTGAACAGATTTCGGGGCTTAGAATTACCTGTTTTCATAATTATAACGACCACTATAAGTACGAGTGTCTATCAAATTTTCATGTCTAATAGACAGTGAAGTATTTAAAAAGTTACATAGCATGTTCGAATGTATACTTTACTTTAAATTGTATTTGTTTTATATTCTCACATCGATGCTTACTATCAAATCAAATAATCCAAGTATTGGCATCTCATTCCGCAGAAGCTGTTTCTATAATTCAAGATAATTTCTACCAAAGAGTTCGCAGGTTCTAATCTATTTTACAGTCTTCACCTATGTTAATATCTTTGCAAAACGCAAGTTGTTAAAACAAGCAAAGCTTTAAGAATGCAGCGGCCTTCCAACTTCTGGTAACAGTTCCATAAAAAGTAGTTATATCCAAATCTTGTTTCGTTCAACATTTATTTTCTATTGATTTACATATGTAATGTTATGTAGGATTTTAAATAACGAGATCTCATGATTCCTTGATTTCACTTTTTTAAAATTCTGTACCAGCTGCTTGTTGCTGTCGATGTTTTGGTTACTTTCTTTGCTATTCGACCAGGTGGTGGAGAGAGTGTAGCCAAAAAATTAGGATGTTGCTTCAAACGATTGAACAGGTGGCTTGATGCCTATTGCATTCTGACCGAAGTAATTTCTGTTAAGGTTGTGTTCCTTAGTCGAAACACTGCCACGTACGATCGCTGTCACTTTTATGCCTTATCATACTCATTCTATTGATCTGTTTCGCGTTTGTTGTTTTGTTCGTTCTATCTCCGCTTTGTACCATTGCGACAGCTTGATTTGAAAATTTGCTGCATCTTATTAAGCTCCAAACCGAGTCCTCACTTCAGCACTGAAGAATTTTGCTGTGAATTTGTTGGGTTTTTTTTTTTGAGTCATTCATCACCTTTCGTTCACACTACTTAATCATGTGCTTTACCGTACACTACCCATATATCCTCTGTCATTATCTTGGGCGCCATATTGTCGCTATGGCTTCCGGACCTCACACGCGATACAGTATGATGCGTGATGATGGTCTTGTGTATACGTGGACATTTACATGTATCCATCCAATTACCGATGCTCGCCGGCAATCGACATTACTGTAATTGCCGCTTTTTTTCTGTCGTTATTCGTAGTGGTTTCCATTTGTACCTGAGAACAAGAAGCGCCAGCCAGCAAATGGTGTTTAGTTAGATATGCTATAGGTGCTTATTGCTTCAACACTCTAATAAGATTCAATTTAAGCGCATATTGAGCTGTTTTGAGAAGCCTGAGGGTAGAAAAGTTACATCCTTTCAATGTGACATCAACGGTCAGCGAGCGCACACGACACATCATACGATGGATTACATAGCTTGTAGAGTCATAAGATAGGCGTCAAGCAGCGAAGATAAGCGGGCATGCAGGCTTGTTCTTTTCACATGTAATGCAGCTATATAGGATTATAAAAGCTTTTTATATCATTTTTTAAACTCTAATTTTATTGGCGCTTAGGCAGATTACCTTCTATTAGAAATATTGCATAGTTGACATATTAGACATTTAATCTGTGTGCGAAAAATCTTTGCTTTATCCAGCAAATGTTTCGTTTAATAGCCTTCTATATACGGATCAAATAAAGAGTATGGTGGAAAGATGTCCGATATTGTGCTCCTGCTGACCACTCTTATCTAATTTTGTTACAATTAGACTTAACATCTTTTTAGATTATGTTCTTTTTTCAAATTTACTTGATGTAGTGTTATGATATGCTTTGTAATGTATAATCAGTATTTGATCTTTTTTCCGCGTTATGAGGAATAGATGTTGCCTACAAGCTAAAATAATTTTTTGAAAGCGAAGACTTCGGTAATTTTTTTGCGTCATTTTTTGTCCTTAACAGCAATATGATCTAGTTATTTCTATCTGTATTCAAAAGTGACTGAACCTAGTTGAGAATGTTTTACGAGTTTTTTAGCGGGTACAATGCTCCGGGAAGAGTGTGTAATGGAAATGAATGAACAATCGTTTGGATACTTTTGCCTTTCCTCATTGTACGATTTTTTTCCCAGGAAACATTGGCAGTTGCAATCTCGATTTCCTCTATCAACACTCACATTCTACCGTGCGTTTCTTCTTCTGCAGCATCATCTTCAATACTCGCCATTCTAAGCGGAAACATCGTTTCGTAGTAGATGATTGTGCTATGTAATTTGTTATATTGTCTCAACCTTACCTCAATTTTTATGATATCATATTCCTGCTCGTGCTCTTCTGCAATCTCGAACACCCTCCACATTCGTTTATTTATGGTGATTCTCAAACGAGATCAAGGTGTGGTCCGGATCGGGCGGTGTCT